CTGTCTGCAGTTCAATTACACATTACATTACATTGTTGCCGTCACTTCTTACCGGTCTTATATATACAAGAATACCGCATATCTAGTAACCTCTTGAGACTTCAGGTAAGGACGTGAAGGTTCAAGAATATGACGTGTTACTAGCGTCACGTGACCCCCGCTGTCGTAACAGTATATTTTGTCATCAGCATAAAACGAAAACAGAACAAAAAACAAGAACTATGAATAACAATTCAAACATAGATTTTAACAAAAGTGTGTTTGTTTGTTATGAATTTCGCGCAAAGCTACACGAGAGCTATCTGCGTTAGCCGTCCTTAATTTAGCAGTGTAAGACTAGAGGGAAGGAAGCTAGTCATCACCACCCACCGCCAACTCTTGGACTACTCTTTTACCAACGAATAGTGGGATTGACCATCACATTATAACGCCCCCACGTCTGAAAGGGCGAGCATATTTGGTGTGATGGGGATTCGAACCTGCGACCCACAGATTACGAGTCGACCGCCCTAACCACCTGGCCATGCCGGGCCCAAAAGTATGTGCACGTTTATAGAACAGCAAGTTTGTTTCAGCTGTGTTTAATAACCGCTCTGCCATGCATATGTACCAGTGCGTATTATATATATTCATTCTATGTATTCTATATACTTAGGATAAAAGGTGCTTATTCTGAAACATCACGTTCTTTAACTGTAAATAAACACGCTTTTCGTCTTATCGGTAGTAATTATATTTTTGATTTAAGAATCTACTTACAGGTGTCAGCACTATCATATGCGGAAACTGGCTGGACTCTGGATTGAAAAGTAACGAAATATTTCCGTATGGATCAGTTAGAAAAGCATGAAATCGATATAGCGAGCCCAAATAGAATCATGTGAGTTAAGTTTATTTAAAATTCTAAGTTTTCCAAACATTTTACATCTCTGAAACGGTCCATTCAATTCGTAAAGTGTAATCAGGCTAACCGTAGTACTCCAAGCGGCATAATAATAATAAAACAAAACACGAACGAAGGGTATAGAATATTATACATAGAAACTCTTCTCCCGTCCCTAAATAACACACAGTCTTAACTGGCTTTAAACCTATTTCACTAATGCCTCAGTTTTCATTTTCTCGTGTTATATTTGTAAGTTCGAATTGTTTATTTCTAATGTATATATATTTCTGTTGTAATTACAAATATTGTTTGTTTGTTTTGTACCTCTGGATTACTGATGATGGAATTATG